GCCACTCTGATCTCCTTTTCCAGTGTGTATTTAGCCTGTTTATACAAGACATTGTCCCCCTTCCTGTGAGCATCTTCTTTGGCCTGACGGAGCTGTCTGAGTTTTGCAGTGAACCATGGTTTGTCATTGTTGTAGGTTAAATGAGTCCTGGTTTTGGCAGTTCACGGGAGAGATTTGCTTTATTAAAGATTTGCTTTGTTAAAGTGATTAAAACAGAGTCCGGGTGTTGTTGTAAAGCGGAGCTCACGTGTGCTTGCGGAGGAATGTACACACTTACGAGAATGAACGAGCAAAACTCCCGCGGCAAGTAGAACATTTTTAAAGTCATTTAGTGCAATATTCAACTCTTTAAGGCCTGTGTTAACAGCGTCAACATTTCCACTTTTCATTGTTTCCCTTATTTCATTCGTTTTACGTGTACACACGCCAAGCTTTCCTCTGCGCGTTGCACAAAGCTGGTAGAATTTTTCATCATCCATATTGAGGCTTTATCAAGATAAGATTTTTGATGAGAAATCACAGCTTGTAAATCCATACATGAACAAAAAATTATGGTCCACTCCAGCAGCAAGCACAGCATTGACAATAGGGCACTTCAAAATTCAAGACTATTTTAAACATAAAGAATCCAAACTTTACATTTCCAAGTTTCCAAACAATTTTCATCAATCCACGTGAGCGATTGCAAGTTCTTTAATTTGTGTAATTGCACATTTTAACCAGCCCCCAACATGCTTCGCCGACATTCTTTAAACGACTATCTAAATAAACTTAAGTTGTACTTTTAAGGATGAGATGAGCAGGATGGAAAGACGTGAGCAAGGTAGGCAGGTAGCAGGCAGGCAGGGCAGGATGGATGGATCAAACAAACAATATTCCAAAATGGATTCCAGTAATCCATACAAAGGTTAGAGCAGGGTTCAAATTATACAAACTCAAGATCAAATTAATAAAAAAAAAATAGCAAAGCAAATAGCCTTAAAGAACGTATATGCCTAGTAGGTTGGTAATGTGCTGCTTTGTTCTTTGTTCTCTGACAAAAAGGTGAGAGGCGGCCATCTTTAACTTCACTGCCTTCTCATGGTCTATCAAAATAAAAGTATCTACAAAAAAAAAACTTTATATACCAAAAAATATTTTAGTACTCCTATAACCGTAATAACAAATAAATGTAGCGTCTGGACCAATCAGACACACAATTTTTTTTTTAGTTATATTTAACAAATACTCTGTAACACCCCTCAGTTAACAAGCCATATGAGGGTCTATGGACCCTTCCCCTGAAATGCATCTAACACCTCAGAAAGGCAGAACAGGCCTCTGGTTCCATGGCAACCAAGGCTGATATCACTGGTTTTATTACCCAAAGGAATGCGGAATCTTCTCAGACCTTAAAAGGCTCACGCACAGTTCCGCCCATGTTTTCTTGTTGTTCTTCTTCTGCTAAGAAGCGTGTTGGAGCCTGAGCCGGTGCGGGTGTGCCCGGTGGGCTCCAACACATAGCCAGTCAGTCTGCGGTTCTGTTAGATTCTGAGAAGATGAGGATATGAGCTAGCACCCCTCTAAGGACACCCTAAGTCTGCGCCAGGCCTCGGGACTTGACTTTCCATTCACCAAAGATCCTAGGATCTCAGCTGATTTCTCTCTTAGCTCTTTTTCATTTTCCACTGGGAAGAAACTCCCAATCACCATCGAGTCAGAACATCTTTGGAGTTCATCACTCTTCAAACCCGGAAGAAGGTGATCGCGACTCCTACACCACCGAACCTCCAAACCATCATCAAGACTTTCATCCGAGACTGCATCCAGGCACTCGTCAACGACCAAGGCAATGCAAGTATCGTACATTTAACTAAACGAAACAGAGGTTTAGTATAAGCTGTAGACCCCGTTCTAAAACGGTGCTGATGGTTTTACTCAGGTGGTTAACTTAACTGACTCTTTTCATAGCTTCATTCTCTGGTTTTCCTGATGGTTTCATCCATCAAGTCTCATTTGCCCTTTTCCCTGTATGAGTGATTGATTGATTGTTTGTTTGTTTGTTAGTGTTTAATTAATAAAACTCTTGTGCACAAATTACATGAGTTTCTGATTCTGCCTTGCAAATTAATTGTCCCTTTACGATTTTGATCCTTACTACATGCTCTAATGCATTAATACTGTATGAAAGTATTTTCTGTGGCCACGAAAATATCCTTTCCTAGAGTTGATATGAACTTACACTGAATGTTCGCTGGACGAACAGATTGGTTGATGGCAATTTAATTCTGCTACAGTTACTACTGGCAGCTGATATAAATAATTGCAATTAATCATAATTAATTGTAATTATTTACTGTATATACATTTCCTTTTGGAGCTAATTTGCTACATAAATAATGGCTCCAACATTCAGCGTCAGTCAACTCTTAAGTATCTAAGATTCTTCAGCTTTACTGTATGAAGTTTCTGCGACATTCAAAAGCTCAGTAAAAGTTTTTCTTTTGTTTGCGACTAGGTGCCTTTTCAAAGGAACTGTAATTCAAACAACAGCTGTGTGGCCGATCTGAAGCTGAACTTCAGTTTTACGTGAGAAACAACTGATAAATAGACATATTAATCTGAAATATGATTGTTAATCTTTTGAATATTGCCATTATTCATCAGGTTTTTTATTAAAATGAGGTTTGTTCTGCAGGAACGACACGTTAGTGGTGGTGAATCATCCTCATTTCAGCATCCTCGTATCGCTGGCAAACCCAGGCGACGACTCCTTCAACACCAGCATAGTGCTGCATTACCCAGAAGGCCTCTCACTTTCAAAATTTGATGCCATTAAGGTACTGCTGTCTGCATGTCAAACTAAAGAGTGTCAAAAACTAAAAAAAAAAAAAAACTCCTCAAAATGTTTTTTTCAAAATGGTCTCTTATCAGACAACACAATGAACTAGATTTCAATCTGCTGCTTTAATAATAACTCCGTTCACTTCTTAATAGATGTCAAGTCACCTTTTTTAATCTAGCACTTTTAACAATACAGATTGTCAAAGCAGCTTTACAATATTAAATAGGAAAATAGTGTGTTGATAATGCAAAAGGACAAAAGTAAACAATCAAATTTTCAGTTAAAGTCAGTTCACCATTGATTCAGTGATGTCATTGTCCAGCTCAGTATAGTTCAAATAGTGTCTGTGCAATGGAGAAAAAAACCTTGGGAGAAACCAGGCTCAGTGGGAGGAGTGGGGGGCAGTTCTCCACAACTTGACCCTAAAGATCTAGTTAATTACAGACCGATCTCGAATCTCCCTTTTCTGTCCAAGATACTAGAAAAGGTAGTATCCTCACAATTATATTCCTTCTTAGAGAAAAATGGTATCTGTGAGGATTTCCAGTCTTGATTTAGACCGTATCATAGTACCGAGACTGCTCTCATTAGAGTTACAAATGACCTGCTCTTATCATCTGATTGTGGTTGTATCTCTCTATTAGTGCTATTGGATCTTAGCGCTGCGTTTGACACTATTGACCACAACATTCTTTTGCATAGACTAGAAAACTTTGTTGGCATTAATGGAAGTGCATTAGCATGGTTCAAATCGTACTCGTTGCAGTGAATGAAGAGGTATCATATCGATCACAAGTGCAGTATGGAGTACCTCAAGGCTCAGTACTAGGGCCGTTACTCTTCACGCTTTACATGTTATCCTTGGGAGATATCATCAGGAAACACTGTGTTAGCTTTCATTGTTGGTAGTTTTCACTGCTTGTCACTTCATGCTGTTATGCAGCTCTATATTTCTTCACCGCTCAACGGAGCATACCAATTTGCAAAACTAACGGAATGCATAGTTGACATAAAAAACTGGATGATGAGTAATTTCTTACTGCTAAATTCTGAAAAACAGAGGTGTTAAATATAGAACCTAAAATCTCTGCATGTAATAACCTAGAACACTGTCTAAGACTTGATGGCTGCTCTGTCAATTCTCCGTCATCAGTTAGGAACCTAGGTGTGCTATTTGATAGCAATCTTTCCTTTGAAAGCCACATTTCTAGCATTTGTAAAATCACATTTTTTTATCTAAAAATATTTCTAAACCACAACCTGTGTCCTCAATGTCAAATGCAGAAATGTTATTTCACGCGTTCGTGACCTCAAGGTTAGATTATTGTAATGCTTTATTGGGTGGTTGTTCTGCACGCTTAATAAACAAACTCCAGCTGGTCCAAAATGCAGCAGCTAGATTTCTTACTAGAACCAGGAAGTATGACCATATTAGCCCGGTTCTGTCAACACTGCACTGGCTCCCTATTAAACATTGTGTACATTATAAATCTTGCAAATTACTTATAAAGCCCTGAGTGGTTTAGCACCTCAGTACTTGAGCGATTATAGTCCTTCCATCTTCAGAAATGTACATGTGAATTAGAACCTGTATCCACTACAAAAAAGGGTTTTCATTTTATTTCCAGTAAAAGCTATTAAACAGAGCTGTGTGCCATTTAGAATTGAACTGAGCATGCCTTTTAAATTCCAGTTCAGTTCCTGAATTAGAGTTTTGGCATCAAACATGAGATTTGCAGAAATGCAGAATTGCAATTCAAATTTCAATGTAAGGAAGTTAAATTAAAATGAACTAAAATGCAAATAAATGAATATGACTATTTTAACTAAAAAAGTAATGTTGGATTAAATGTTTAATTTTTTCTGTTTAAGTTTTGAAGTTTTTTTTAAGTTCAAAATAGATGGATGGATAGGTTTGCTTCAAATGTAGACAACTGTGTATAGTTTATATATTTCATCATATTTTCTAACTTGTGGACCAGGTTAGAAGAACAATTAATTTTCATTAAAATTCCTATTTATGTCATTCTGATTCGTCTTCCTATGGGGCATGGCTATGAACTGAAAGGGAGCCAATTCTTCCATTCTAAGTTTTGTGTGTGTGTGTGTGTGTGTGTGTGTTACAAACAACCGAGTCGGACTCGAAGCAGCTGTGGTGATCGGGACAGCGGTGCTACGAACAGAACAACCTGCAGCATCAATCTACCGGTGTACCGCAGCGGCACCACAGTAAGACAGAATGACAGACACAGACAGACACAGAAAGACAGACAGACACACACACACACAGACAGACAGAGAGACACACACACACACACACACACACAGACAGACAGACAGAGCCAGACACACACACAGAGAGACAGAGCCAGACACACACAGACAGACAGAGACCCACACACACACACACGCACACACACACACACACACACACACAGACAGACAGACAGACAGACAGACAGACAGACAGAGCCAGACACACACACAGACAGACAGAGCCAGACACACACACACACAGACAGACAGAGACACACACAGACAGACAGACCGAGACACACACATGCACATGCACACAGACACACACACACACACACAGACAGACAGACAAACTTTTTTCTTTATTTTTTACTTATTTTATCAAGGTATCACGTACTTTTATTTGAACAGTTGATAAACGGGCTATACACATGTGACTTAAAGCCAAGAATCATTCTGTTCTTCAGATAGTGACAATAAAACACAGACAGTATTCGAGTGTTTGCATTTGACAGACACAAAGTCAGGTTCTTCATTTAGAATTCAAGGTTTTCATTCTGTCAGTTCAATTATTCCCTTGGCATTGCTACCAACATCTTTCTACTATTTCTACTTTCTATGGACTCTATTGTTTTCTAGACTCAGTTTCTGGGAACTTTCCGTGTGACTAAATGGGATCACGACTCGTCTGACAGGATGGAGATGATGATTACTGCCAACAGGTGAATAAGGCTGAAAGGGCGACAGATTCATTTGTTTTCATTTGAGCAAAGACAATAACAAATATTGCTGCAAGCAGCAATTACCAGGGTTCAAGCATTTTAAGACCTTTGAGCCATTATAGACATTTTAAGATGATTTTACCCAAATAGGCTAAAAAATAATAAATAAAATCACTAGAAACATTCTTTAATGATTTATCACTTTTGACCAAGAGGTGGCGCTACTCCCAAATTAATGTGGTGTGGTTAACTAGGGGTGTTGATGACACACATAGTTTGGTGCCAATATGCCAGTGAATTCTGTGAAAAAGCTTTTGATAACTTTTTCTTTTGTACATTTTTTTATTAATATTGGTGAAAATCGGCCATGTTTGGCAGCCATGTTTTTTGAGATACACCAATGCCCTCATAGATATGGATGGCACCTTGGACAAAGATACTGCATGCCAAATTTTAAGTCATTCATGCTCATGGGTGTGTAGTTACAGCCATTTTAAAGTTTTTTTCCTGTTATAGCACTACCAAGTGGTCAAACTCCCCAATTGTTGTAATCTGACCAAAGATTGAGCTCATTCATATGTGTTCCAAGTTTGGTGAAGGTACATCATTCCATTCAAGAGTTATAGCCATTTCAGTAAAAGGGCCTCACCCACTTTGAGTGTTTTTGCATCTTGTCCCAACTGATAATGGAACTTCAACTTGGTTTTGACAACTTTTGCTAATAAGACTCCAGAGAACTTTTTTGCCCTGTTTTCGTTCCGATTGGGTGAAAAACGTAAGACTAGTTCGCAAAAATCTGTTTTGTGAAAAATTCAAAATGGCGGAAAAAGTTTCATGACATAAATGAAATCGAACAGCCATTTTGTTCATCTTGATCCAAGGATTCCAATGATACCCTTGAGTCTGCTTCAAAAGTCTAGGTCTAGGAGTTATGAGCGTTTTCGCATTTTCAATCACTGTAGTGCCTCCTATTGGTCGACTGGGTGAGTCTTTTCCAGTCTCTCCTCAAATTGAGACCTACCATCTGGCCAAGTTTCAAGTCTCTAGGCCTTACGGTTTTGTCTGTTTAATGGTTTACAGCAGTATAATAATACTAATCCTTACAATTACAATAGGGTTTCTTGAACCCCTAATAATCAGCAATCTGGGCTTCTGATCCATGTTGTGAAGGTTAAGATGAATGACTTTACTGCATTTCATGTTCATCTGTGAGTAAATTCTGTATGTTTGTTCACAGTGATAACAATGGAAACATGAGTGATACGGCGGTGAGGAGGAGCGTCCCGGTTCAGCACTGCGGTTGAAGACTTTCCTCTCATAAACGTGAATGCTAAAGAAAACTGAGTCAGTGAGAACGACAGCACAGAGAAAGAGAATGGAGAGAGAGAGATGAGCCCCAGTCCTGATCCTCCCAACACAGACGAATAAAATCTCACTTTATTCCAACACAGCACAAGTTAAAGAAGTTTGTTTTGATGGAGCTGAAAATGGTCTTTTAATGGTCTAGTTGTATGGAGATATGATTTAAGGTTCAGTATGTTTAGTTCAATGATATGCAGCATGTGTAGCTTATGTCTTGATTCTAGTGACTTAAATTGTAGTTTAGTTATGATAAGCCAGTTTTATTCTGATATTCACTTATATGGGCATTTTCTATAAAAAAAAAAAAAGTATTGAGTTATTTTTTTATTGATTTTAGTAATAAGTAGATTAAATCTTTTTTCTTCTTTATCTTTTTAATCTCAAAGAAAGTGTTCTGTAAGTAACCTTCACACCGAATATTGGTAGTCATTTGAAGAAGAGAAATTAATAATCAATCAGTATAAATAAATCAGTAAACTGAATGAGATACTGAGTTATTGTTTATTGTTAGGCTGATGTTTTTATGGCACTATCACAAGACAAATGAAAAATCAACAAACAACACACATCTTTAATCGACAGAGAATATAAAACAATGCACAAATTTACTAAAAAAAACTTTCAGTACACAAAAACTCCATAAAGCATTTCTGAATGTTGTGAGTTCCTTAAATTCAGTATGGCCACTTAACCTGATTAAGGTCTTTTATCATCCACTCCAATAGACCATAAAGTTGTAGGCGTGGTGCAGTTTTGTTGTCTGTCCCTTTAAATGCTCATGCAGAAGGATGCTGATTGGCTGGTTTTTATCACTCATCAGCTGGAAGCAAAACATTCTGGAAGTGATTCAAACAGCATTGTTCCTCTGTGCCGTTATCGTTAAAGTTGAGGTGTGGATTTCAGAGTTGCATTGTATTCAGGCCGTTCCTAGGCATAGGCAAGCTAGGCGGTCACCTAGGGCACCACCAGCAGGAGGGGGCGCCAATGAGTGCACATACTGGCACTACATTTTAGCAGGGTTGTGATAAAGAGTGGCACGGCCAACCTGAAATATGATTGCTGCCCCCACTGCATCCCCCAACATCATTGGGCTAGAGTACTGTCAATCTGACGATGCCTGTTTGCCACTGGATCAGAGTACTGTCACTTGCTGCTGGATTGTTGCATGCAAAGTTTGCATTTGGAGCACTCCGCAACACCATTAGATCAATGGGTTCCGTCAGTGCTTTGGCAAAGTAACGCTTTTTTTTTGCCATGCAATAAAGCTATGTTCAAAGGCCGGTTTAAAATATTGGTACAGTAAAAAGTGCACAAAATTAGTATTTTGTTAAGGCAGTATCTGTGGCAGTCGAGAAATCATGGTGCAAAATTGGTCCAAAAGGTGTGCATTTTTGCGCCAATGCATTGTTAAAGCAGCACTATGTAACTTTTGGCGCTCTAGCGGTTAATAAACAGAAATGCACACATCCCACGGAAGAACATTCCAACCGGAGCTACTTCTCTAAGTTTATGTCTCTGGCGATTCACGCAGGTATGTGTTACTCCGCAGCGGTGACCAGGCTACAATAGTCTAAATATAAATACTTATAAGTGTACCGTAGTGATTCGGAATAAGACAAAAACGCGGTTTGGAAGATGAATTCATGATGTACTCGCTCATTATATACATTTTGCAAATTTTGAACACAGAAAAAGTTACACAGTCCTGCTTTAAAGGATCAGTGTGTTGTGTAATATTCCCATATAAAACTTTAACAGCCAATTAAAAAATATTGGTATAGTAAAATTCGCAAATTCACAAGATCAATACATCCTTTATTAAACCGCTTCCTTACAGAAGTGTTGAAATGCTGAATTAATCCATTCACTTCTAACAGCGCTTAATGGGAGCAGCGTCAGACACATAGAGGAGCGTTGCGTCATTTAAAGGGGAAGTTCACACGTCAATGAGTGACAAAGGAATAAGTAGCTGGATTCTGATTACCTTTATGTGACTGATCAATCTTTTTATGTAGTTTGTGGTAACAAAGGTTTTTATAGGTTTGACTGAAATAATAATGAAAAAACAGACACTTTAAATCAGGGATCCTCAAATCTGGCCCACGAGACCCACTTTCCTGCAGCGTTTATCTCTAACCCTAATCAAACACACCTGAGCATGCTAATCACTGTGTTGCGTTTGATAAGGATCACAGCGAGTAACATCAACTTATCGTATCTTTTTACTTAACCTCTCTGTTCCAGACCCCAGTAAACAAACACATACATTGGTCAGGCATGACAGAATGCTTTCAGCACAATCAAACTCGATGCATCACTGAACACTAACTCAATGCATTATCAAACAACACTTGTGTGAGAACACAACACACTGTCTTCAGGATTATTAGAAAATCACAGGTAGGTGAGTTTGATCAGGGCTGACAAAAATTAGTCATTGATAATATCTAAACATGTATCCAAATTTCCAACATTTATTAAATATATATATATATATATATATATATATATATATATAATGTGCTGCTTTAGAGAAGAGGAAGAGAAAACTAGAGGTGCATGTAATAATCTGTTCATATATGAATCGCGATTCTGTCTTCCAACGATTCTAATGCATTCACAAGTTTCACATTCAATGTTCTAAAGCAGCAGTTTTCATCCTGTTCCTCGCTTCGCCCTGCTCTGCACACGCTCTGCATCTCTCTCTCTCTCTCTCTCTCATTCAGATCATCAGCTCAGTGAATACACTTATTTTCACATACTATAGCTATGAGAAGCGTTAAACATGGACGTGCGTGCAGCTGCCGTACTGTATTAAAGCTTTCAATAATATCCTCTGCGTCTCAATCGGGCTCAAACTAGTGATGTCCGGTTCATGAACGAATCGTTCGATTTAACCTGTTCTTCTTAGTGAACCGGTCGAACCAGTTCACCAAATCGGACTGAATCGTTTGAAACGGTTCACGTCTCCAGTAAGCATTAATCCACAAATTACTTAAGTTATTCACTTTTTTTA